CCCCAAAACCCCAAAACCCCAAAACCCCAAAACCCCATCCGAGTGGATTATATTGAAAAATTACTTTTGGTCTTAAACTCCTCGATAACGCTAATGATTTCAGTCATGTATCTATGCAATTAGCTAAAACCTTACCTGTTAACAACCAAGTCTCCGAGGAGGCCTATGTTCGTGAATGGGTCTCACTTATTGCCCCGTGAAAGCTCAATGAAGATACTCTTATCAATAGTGTTTCCTGAAGGACAGATTGCAGGAGATGTAATCGGGGCTAAAGAAATTGGACATTCCAAGGATTGGTCCAACCTCAGTATGATCTGTGTAAACAATTCTAAAGTAAAACTACTTGAAAAGTACCTTTATAATCATATTTGCCATCGGCCATCACTGGCTTAGAAGGTGGAGTAAGCTTTTTAAGTGAAGATAATAGAACTGTTTTAGCATGTCATAATTCCTGAAACTCCTTGCTCTCCTTTGTTACTTTATCAACCTGATCAGAAAGCTGCTGATTAAGTTGTGTAAGATTTTTAACCTGCTTCTCAGCATTTCGCAATGACTTTTCATTTGAAGATTCTCGGAGTTGATATTTGTTAGTGATTAAAGAGACTTTATTACGATAGCTCTCTAAATTGTTAAGTTGAAGAATGAGTACCTGATTTTTCTCGTTCCTTAATTAATAAACTATTAGTTTTACGCTGAGAAATGTTTGCTTTGCTTTCATTCTTTTTCAATACAGAGATTTCCCATTTTAATGCGGTAATCATTCCAAGTTTTTGTTCCAACTTCTCATTAAGTTGGTCATAAGTGTCCTTACCTTGCATTCATCTTGGAGTATACTCTCCATTATTCAGATTTTTAACAACATGTTGAAGACGAAAAATTCTGTTGTTTTTGTCAGTTAAAGTTTGATCATGAAAAAGTACCTTCTCCTCCAGATTTTTTATAACTTTATCTTTCTCAACTCAGTATTCACAATACTGATTTTCCCCATAATCATAATTATTTCCCCAATCTTCCTCACCTTCAAAACCTTCATCATCTTCATCACCTTCATCTTCATCACCTTCATCTCCATCATCTTCATCTCCTTCATCTCCATCACCTTCATCAAAATCTTCCTCAAAATCTCAATCCTGATCCTCCAGATCACCTCCTCACTCTCCATAATCCTCCAATTCCTTACCCTCCCCCCACTCACCATCAAAACCCTGGTCTGCACCATCACCTTCATTTTCTCCAAACTCATCAAATTCCTCCTCTTCATCTTGTTCGCCATCTTGCTCATATTCCTCTTGGTCCATGCCTTCTTCTTGGTCTTCATAGTAGTTGTAGTCCTGGTACTCTCCGTTGTAGTCTCCCCAGTAGTCTTCTCAGTCGTCTTCCATTTGGATGGGAAATAGTATGAGCAAGATTTAGGAGATGGAGTATCTTTAGTGTAACTAAAATTTTCAATTTTTTCAAAATGATACGGGGTTTTGGGGTTTTGGGGTTTTGGGG